CTGATATTCTAAGAAAACAATGTTAAATAAATAAATCAAATCAAATCAAATCAATCGCACAGAATCAGAAACGAGAGCCGGTCTCTTAATAACCCACACGTGTGTTTTTGAAGCATTATCTTGCAATCAAAGTTCAAAATGGAATCCGAGTCTGGTTTCCTTTCTTTTTTTTATTACTGACACCCCGGTTCTTTTCGCTCCTCTCTCCGTTCAGTTGCCCAGCCCTTTTCACCCCCTCACTCCTGACGAAGATGATGGTGATGACGGTGATGAAATAAGATGCAATAGTTTCTCTAGATGTGTTTTTCTTGGGGAGGAGGCTAGCTCCTGGCTTGTTCGTGACTAATGAAACGAAACTCACATTTCAAAAACATTTATCTCATTACTAAGCAGATTTGACTTATGGAAAAGTAAAAAAAAAGTGTGGTTTAAATTTCAAAGGACTGCCTTTAATTGTTGGTAGATGTTTGTTTCTGTGTTGGGCACTCCTCCGTTCCGCATGAAGACTAACAGAAAGAGACYAGTGTTTGTTTGAACAAGCCCAGAAACTCTTAAAAGCCAAAAAATTATTTTGAAGGGATGTCAGAAACACTGCTTTTCTTTTAAATGCCTGCAGTTTGGCCCCAAACCACAGAAAGCCATCAGCTCAGTGATGTTCATCGTCAGGTTCTTCTGAAACAGGAACAGAGACCGGACAGAAGGTCGGACCTGCTTCAAGCCGAGTTTTAAACWCCAAGATCAAAAGCGATGCATCCAAAAGACGGAGTGTCTTTGTAACATTTATACAAATTTTCATCCATGCCAGCAGCAAAAAGGCAACAAGAAAAGGAAAAAAAAAGAAGGCAGACAATTCAGAACAGAAGAAAACAAGTCAGATTCAAAGGATGAAGACTTCAGGCGTCGCTTGAAACATACTTTAATTAACTTTTCCTCTCATTCTGTTCTGCTCGTACCTTTTCACTGGTGACGCCTTTCTGGGAAATATATATTTTTCTTCTTCTGTCTGGTTTTTTCATCTTTGTCTTTCACTAACCCAGAATATAAAGGTCAAAAAGTTATAAAATTAAGGCATAATAAATTGGAATTTACCCAGCTTAACTTTAGAATTACTGGTAATCAAAGGTTTTGAGCATTCAAATTGCTTTTAATCACTTTACTAAATAAAACAACAAAAAAGGACTAATGATGGACATTAATTTAGATTTTTAAAAGTTTATAACAAAACAAAACCACATTTTCTTTAACACTACAGAAAAAAGCAACAAATTGTCTTTTACTTTTGGATTGAATAAGTTACTTTTTAAAATGTTTTGTGCCGATATTTAAGGGAGAATAAATTAAAAATTTCTGTTCATTCTATCGTAGTCCAGTTTCTGAACCAAAACAATGCCAAAATGTTTTAAAGTCTGATTTTATGGTTTGGTGTTTTGTTCCAAACGGTTTGTTGTTCCTTGCAGGTAAAACTAAACTCTGCCGTCACTCGGCTGGTAGTCTGATGTTTCCCCTCATCCTGGGGTCGATCCTCCTGTTTGGTGTCTGGGCTGGCAGCGCTGTTGCATCAGTCCTACAACATGTAATGTAATGTGTCTTAATATATTTATTTTCTTCTCTTTTTCTCCTCTCAGACAAGCATGAGACCAGGCTGAAAGGACTCATTTACTTCCAGGCGATTGAAGAGGTTTATTATGATCATCTACGCAGTGCTGCCAAGGTAAACGCTCCTCTTTCAGAAATCTCTGGGTTTTGACTTTGACTTTATTGAACGTAATGGATTTAAAARAATAAACAAAGTTATATACAAAAGAAAAAAATAAATTTAAAACTAAAAGCAAACAAAAAAACAAGAACAATAGTGAATGAATTATATGTACACGTTCAAAGGAGTGGGTAGAAGTATAAACTTATTTTTTACACCCACCCCTCTTACATCTAAAGAACCATCCATAATTACAACTTATTGTAATTACTTGTTTAAAACATTTTTTCTTTTTTAAATATTTTCTACATCCATATCTCTAACTTAAACAAAACATTCATTTTTTTGCATCCATAATTTTTAATACATTAACATTTTTTCAATAAACCGTAATACAGCAGTAAGTTTTTATATTTCATATAAATTACCATTATTATTCATAAATTAACAGT